TGCAATGTTAGCTACCTCAAGGGCTGTAAATATCAAACAGTATAACCTAAGGATGTGACAAAATTACAGAACTCATCAAGAAATTATAAAAAGTAGAGATTATTTGCCCAGCCCAAAGCCATTATAACAGCCCACTATAGCCTGTGATGAAGCCAAACTGCTCCAGAAGAGCTACTGTGGATTATAGACAGCTAAATAAGGTAGTTCCTCTCAACCATGCCACTGTGTCCACTATTGCTCTTTTGACTTACAACAGATGCAAGTGATGGGGTCTTTCCAGTCTATATTAGACATCACTAACACATTTATTTTAGGATCCTCTTAGCTGATGAATCCTAAAACCAATGTCATTCATTTGGAATGGTCATCAGTGGACTTTCAGAATGCTCCCTAATGCTACCTTCTTTGTCCCACATCCCACTATTTGTCATGGGACAGTGGCCCAGGACCTTGCTCTTTCATCCTGTCCACCTCTGTAAAAAGATTTCACCTCTCCTGACTTCCGCGGGCATTACATGACACGGGTGCACTTACCTACATGCAGGCAATACATGCGTACACATAAAATAAAAATAATAAATGAAAAGTAAAAAATTTTCATTGCATAAATGGCATAAGGATAACCTCTGAGTATTTTACAGGTTTAGAAGGCGTATAAAAGAAAGACAGGTGTTCTGAAAGGAACAAAGATCAACCCATACAAGGTGCAAGGGCCAGGTATAGCTGTAAAATTCTTGCAAGTATTATGGTACAGTAAGAAGCATGTGATACTTGACAAAGTTATTTTAAAAACCTACAAACCTTGTGCTTGCAAATGTAAAAGAGCTAAAGATATTCTTGGGGCTTCTGGGATATTGGCAGATTTTCATTTTCCACTTCACCCAAATGACCTGTCCTCTGTAAAACTTGATAAAGACGTATGCTAAACAGACTTGGCACAGAAAGACTCAAGAGGCTTTGAGCAGGCTAAGATATTTGTGGGACAGGCTAAACAGCTATTTGTCCCTTCAGTGTCTCTTCCTATTAGAAGTCACTAGATGCTCAAAAGGCTGTAGCTGGGAGCTATGGCCAAAACAACCTGAGTATATGGATCCAATAGCATTTTGGTCTCAGTTATGGAAAGGGACAAAAACTTGGTATTAGCACAGCAATTGTTATTCAATAAAGCATTGGAACAGGTGGAATTCATCAAAGGCCCTACCTCAGTAACAGTAAAATCAGCATATCCAATTAAAGGTTGAACTGAAAACCTTTGGTGAAGCCTCTTTCTGGGATAACAGAGAACTAAACCCTTCAAAGGAGGCATGCCTATTTACCCCAACATGGTGTGGTGTCTTCAAGCCCCATCATCAATACCATGCAGACTGTTCTGGTACCAGTCTTTTTTTTAAGTCACTGAGCTTGCTTAACCAAAAGCTATGCCAGATAAAGTGTTGATATGGGCACCATCCATCCCAGCAGATGCGTAGAACACAGATGGTATGAGGAGGAATGCCAAACAAGAATGGACAACTACAGTAATACAGATGAAGACAGATACCACTATGTTCTGGTTGGATAAAGGAGATGGAAAAGTAACCAGTGGGGTAAATTAAGAACAATATGGATAGTACTGACTCATAAGACTTGGTCTGTGGTGATCTGTACTGACAAGCTAGATACAGAGACTTCACTTTATGGATGGCTCAGTGGGAAAGTGAGAGCTTGTAGGTAATAATTTGGCCACTATAGGTACAAAAGATGTTGAAGGAAGCACATAATAGAGTTCAACAGGGATCACCATGTAGCAGTTAATGCCCATTGAATCCTCCTGGAAATCGGGAAGCAGATGCCCTTACCAAAGTACAGATCATCTGCCTTCAGGTGCCATTAGTGGCAGCTCACAGGTTCATGCAAAGTATGCTCCCAAAGGATCCAAAATGGGAAAATAGATAATGCCACTGGTATTTCTGTAAAATATTCAGATATGCTGTATGCTATGAAATCGATATGCTGTATGCTATGAAATCGTGTGAGGTATGTTCCCATTTGCCACAGTGGCAGATGGGTGCTATGGTGGGACATGTAGATATGTCAACTTGCTCTATAAAGTACTAACAGACTATACAGGGCCTGTCAATGAGGGATATAAACATGCTCTCATCTGTGTGGACACTGCCAGAGGACTTTTGCATGCATTTCCATGAAAGGAACCACAGATGAGGCAACAATCAAAGGTCTTACCCAACTCAGTGTTATATATGAGCATCAATAAGAATTGAGTGATAGGAGTAGTCATTTCACAAACACTGCTGGGCATAACTAGGCTGAGGAAAAGCAGGTGCAATGGTACCTAAACCTACCCTACAACTGTACAAGGAATGGGTTAATTAGAGGGGGAAAAGTTATTAAAACAGTAGCTAAAGAGTTTACAAGAGGTACCATTCATGGATAGAAAGGGCATTCCCAGAAGTCATAAAGCGATTGAATGAAACACAATGCCAGGAGTGGGCTACTTTCCTATGAGTTGTTAGCCAGGAAGGTTCCCAAGGCTCCACACACTATAAAGGCTATTGCCACTGCTGATAGTTGCATGTCAGAAGTAGATAGTAAGATGCTACTGCTGAAGACACCACATTCTTTGGTTACAGGACACAGAGAAATAAAGCAGGGACTGAGCTAGAAGTTCCCCTCTTACTAGCTGGCTTTCACAGTGCCAGAAGGCACTATTTTGACCATTGGAGAATTGTTACCAATAGTCCTGCTTGGCTATGAACCCCACATTCTACAGTACCAAAAATGCCAGGTAGAAGATGCCGGCTGATACAATAGTGGCATGACTATCCAGTGTACAACCATCAGCTTTCCAGTTAGAGTCAAGGTCACTGCTATTGTTTTATTAAATGGATGTGATGTGCCTATCAAATAGCTTTCTAAATATTTGTGCTTACTCACAGAGATCACCATTACTGTCAGCCTCAATCATCTGTGGAAGGAAGTCTTCTTTTTGCAAATGGTGATGTACTGAGAGACTCATAACCACTGGAGAAGCTCCTGAGAACAAGTGAATGTTGCTGTGGCATAGTGACCCAATGCTTAGCTGTAAATGATATCTATATGATGCCCTTTAAGGATCAAGAAACATTGCAGAAGATGGAGTGGAAAGAACTTAAAAGCTGGAGGGAGAGATGGAGAACTGTGTGATAATTTCCTCCTGGAGGGTGAAAGGAGATTCATGAAACCCTGCAGGTAAAAGATGTAAACCTGGAAGTACTGAACAAGATTCATGAACTCCCAGCTCCTGAGATTTTATAAGCAGTAAACAACTTCTTCCAGAAGTTGTTTACTGCTTGTAAGACTCTCTGACCTATAGAGATGCCTCCATAGTGTGGAGTGAGCTCCAGAGTTGCAGCATTTGTGAGACATCACCTAAGTTGCAGTGAGCTTTTTGATGATGCAGCTGCCTTTGAGTCATTCCCAATCTTGTAAGTAATCCCCACTTATAGTCTACAAGTAACCCCAATAAACTCATTGGTCTATCAAGTTGGACTTTGATAGAATAGTGTCTTATCTGTGGTGAGACATTTGTGTCTTGTCTCCCCATGAAATTTTGACACAATAAGGCCAATCCTCTGGATCATTCTAGATCCTGTCAAGTTGACAACACAAACCATCACAGTTATCAACAATGTATTAGCAAGATTCTCTTATAAGATGTTATGTTCTTCATATTGTAACTCAAGGCTAAATTCTTAAGATGTTCACTGCCATTGTTATAGCCAAGGCAGCAGCATAGTTTGAAATGTACCAGGCAGCCTCTTTGAATATTCACCACCATTCCTTGTTAACAACTACAACTTTCTTTTTTCATTTTTTACACTAATTTATATTCTGATCCAGATTAAACTCCTGTGACATCTATGTTTTTATCATATTTCAGTGCTCCATCTGACTTAGACTGGACTCTATGTGACCTCATTTAACCCTTTCTTCTCTAGTGTGTGATGAGGTAGTCCTTTCTTCATTTTTTCTCTTTTCTCTTTTGAACATGGCTCTCTCTCTCTCTCTCTCTCTCTCTCTCTCTCTCTCTCTCTCTCCTCTCTCTCTCTCTGACTGGGGGGCTTTCTCTTTCATAGTGTTGTTTCTTTTTTTATAACTATTTGTTGGGGAAAGAGGGTCAGTTGGAAACAGTTTGGTGTATAAGAGTGTGTGTCTCATGGGATCCACAGGCTCTGGGATATCCTGGGGCTGGTATCAGAGCCATGGGGTTCCTGTGTTATTCCTATGCATGGCCTGGTATTTGCCCTTTCCAAGGAGACTCCTGAGCTGTGTGCGCCCATGAGTGTTCTCTCTCTCTCTCTCTCTCTCTCTCTCTCTCTCTCTCCTCTCTCTCTCTCTGACTGGGGGGATCTTCCTTTCATAGTGTAGCTTCTTTTTTGATAACATTTCACCTTTCCTTTTCTAGATGTGCTGAGCATATGCTTTTTGAACTGGCAATTATTAAAACCCCAGTTGAGCCTCCAGATCCTGAATATCATCTCATATTTATTCTACCTCTGGCAAAGGTGTTATAGTTCATTTGTGTTTTGAAAGCAATACCCAGACTTTAATCTGCAAAGGACTGGAAATGTCACATTTTATTATTAAATACAGATCATTGCAGTTGATTTTCTAGCATGTATTCCTGCTTGTAACGTGGGATGATATGATGGAACAACCTTAGTGAATCAGGAAGGCTATTCTGTATAGAGAGTGAAATGTTATAGAATTATTTTTCTGACACTGATGATATTTCCAAGTCTATAGTATAAGGGGTTGTTTCATTATGGAATGTTCTGGACATGTAAATGTGTTGAACTTGTTAGAGGAAATATTCAAACACGGCTTTTATACCCATATAGAAACCACTGCCAAATATGCCTTTGGATTATTAGTATTACATTTCCATTGGTAGAATAATTAAAATCAGTAGCCACAGGAATTATGTGCTCAGCTTCCTCCTCTTCCTCAGGAGTATTTACCTGTGATGGCCAGTTGAGTCACAAAGAAGGTCATTCGGGACTTTCTCTTCCTTCTCCATGTGGAGAACAGCACAACAGAGTTTCCCACAATGGTGAAGATAAACAGGACCCACAGGGTTATCAACTGCTCCGTCTGTAAGAAACAGAATAGCTTAAAACACAGAGGGTAAAGGACTGAGGATCTTTCCAGAATTAATGGTATAGACTCTGGTGCTGGCACCAGATCATGTTCTTCTGGCCCCTCTTCCTACATGGGGAAACTTGATTCTCCCCTTTACAAAAGGTTTTATTCATTGGTCAAGTAATTTTAACTCCAAGGAGAGGTCAAAGTGTGTAAAGAAACACTCATCACAATATTCTAAAAAAATTAGAGAAGTGTTTAAAGGTAACAGGATGGTTAAATAAATTAAACACTTTAAGTCAGCAAATTATTGTATAGCTATGAAAAGAGAAGTGATCTAGACTATAGATCAACTTTTAAAATACTTATGATATAATAGTTAAGTGGTAAAACATGATAAAACAGTATACTGGGTATGATTACAACTCTACAAAATTATACACATAGGAAGAGGACGGAATTGTAGTAAAATGTTAGCAGTGGCTATTTTAGGTGGTGTGATTATGGGTTATCTCCTCTCTTTTTTCTTTGACAAATTTCATAAGATAGCAATATTAAAGTTCTGTTGAATAATGTATAATTAGTAAAGAGAAGAAAAACAGGGATGCTACACACTTAAAATGCCAAGTCCATCATAAGAAGTTTTTCACTATCACTTCAAATGGAGTTTTTTAACTGTTTGATATCCAAAGCACAGAATATGCAGAGAATAGACCTAGGTCACTGAGAGACTGGGTTCAAGGTGGGACATTTGTGGGGCTCATAGGGGTGAAAGCACAGAAACAAAGGGCTCCATGGGGAGCCTGAAATCAAAACCAAATGGTCCAACAGCATCATGGCCCAAGGATGCAAGTCAGGATTCTTGTTAAGAACATATAAGGCTGAAACTGGAGCCAGAGAAGACAAGAGTAATAGCTTAAGGACTTCTGTATGCCGGTTAAATTCTATGTGTTGTGCTGGGTCTTGGAACTCAGCTGTTTGGTCAAACACTCTAAGATGTTGAAGGCAGGTATTTTGTAGATATAATTAGCATCCATTGTCAGTTCATTTTGAAAGAAGAAGATTATCTTCTATAATGTGGTAAGACCTCATCCAATGAGTTGACTTCAATGGGGTTGAATACTAATAAACCTATTTAAAGTTGAAAATATCTTGTCATAAGTATATCTAATATTCCTAACCTATCAAACATCATAGTTAGCCTAGCCAACCTTAAATGTGTTCATAATACTTACATTAAGTCACAGATAAAATAATTTAACACAAAACCTATTTTATAATAAAGTGTTAAATTTCTCATGTAATATATTGAGTGCTGTGGCACAGAGTACACTCTAGAATGTCACCTGTTTCCTATCATGACAGCACAACTTACTGGGAAGTGTTCTCATCTACCCAGCATCACAAGAGAGTATCACACCATATGCTGCAACCCCAGGAAAAGATTTAAGCTTAAAATTCAAAGCACCATTATGGAGCTAGGGATCAATGATAAAGTGTTTGATAAACTTGCACAAAGCCCTGGGTTGGAGCCCCAGAAGCACAGAAAATGTACTGTTTATAATGAGTGCATATTCTTTTGTTCCACAGTAAAGTAAAAGAAACTCATGCATTTAAACATCATTAAATCAGGCACCATAATTATATGTACATGTATATATAATCCTTTTCCTTGGAGAACCATGCTGATACTCTCCCAATCACAAGCAGCACTCTTTCCTGTTTAATTTATTAATTAATTATAAGTTATGTGATGACAGAAGAAATTCTTCTTTAAGTGATTAGAACAACACAGACTGTCCCGTATTCTTTCTGGCTGCCTCTCCATTTTAATCAAAATACCATTCCAAGAAGGCAAATACCATTTAATTTTTTTACTCTATTTTTAATTAGAATTCAAAATGTTAGGTTTTGTTATGACATTTTCAAACAAAATTTGTTTTTGTGGATTCCCCTTATTCTCCCTTCCCTTGATTCCTTTCGTGCCCTTCCATCCCAGGAGCCATCTCTTTCCCACACTCCTGCTTCCTAAACCCCTCCTTCCCCCTGTGGTCTCCTTTCTAGTTTTATAGACTATACCCAGAGTCACACCCACATAACGCATGTATTATACTAAAATCTAGGATCTCCATATAAGAAAGAACAAGTGATATTTGTCTTTCTGAGTCTAGGCCACCTCACTTAATTTAATGCCACAGCCCTTGATGGCCTCCCAGAACTTGAAGGTAAGACAATACTGCTAAAGACAGAACATTCTTCGGATACAGGATTTGGAACCATGGAGCTGCAACTGATCTGCAACCACTTCCCCTGAAGGCTAGCTCTCATGGCTTTGGACAGTACTATGAAAGTACCAAGGGAAAACATCAATGTGTGATCCAACACCAGTTTCAAGACCAAATAATTACATCAGTGGTCAGCACAGACTATGTCGTTGGTGCAATAGTGGCACTTTTATCTTACAGGCAATCAACGGCTACCTAATTTGACTAAACACCCACTCAAAGGGAGGAAACTCAAGTGTAATGATGTAAACAGAACCCAATACACATGGCTGGAGTGGCCATAGATCTTAGAGAAAACCCCAAGACTGTCACATTGCTAGACTAATGTGATTTCTCACTATGTGCAAAATATGTATCCTTATATTTACAGACAAATACCCCAGTCACCACTCATCAAAGAAGCTCATTTTGTACTAGTCAGAAACTATTACCAAGTACCACAACTGGTCACATATAGACTTGTCTATGAATTGCCAAGGCCTAAGTGACACATCTACAATACAACCTCTACATTTAAGGCGCATGGAACATAGAACAAGGATAATGAAGATGACACTAATGAATCCAACAGTTCTCAGTAATGAAGCTCCCTCATGCAGTAGAGGGCCAGGAACATAAAAGGTCACAAATAGCCAAAGTGTAGAGATCAAGAATCTGCTTATCGCTGGTCCTTGGACAGGATCCCATTATTAAGCTTCTCCCACCCAACGCTCAGGGACCCTTGTGGAAGAGGTGGTGGAAAGATTGTAGGAACTAGGGAGGAGGTGCAAGACCATATGGAAACAGAGCCTTACAAGCTCCTGGGAGCCTGCTCATAGGATTCTATGGCAATGGTGTCAGTACACACAAGTCCCATGCAAACTCAGGCAGACAATAAACCAGCATAGAATTGGGAAAATGAACAGCAGATCCCAGACCCTGAAGGAATGTTGGCAACTGATTGCTGCTAGATGAAGAAGAGATGATCTTCCTAAAACAAGGGACTCCAGATAGTCTAACTAGACTTAGTGGACAGACTTGCTCTGGGGAATGGCTGGGGACAGTCTCAACCCAATGGGCCTTAACAGGATGACCAAGTATATGGGCTCTGGTGGGGGATTATGGGAGGTTGCCAATGGGGACAGGGGTATAAAGATGATTAAGATTGTTTGAGCTGGCTCCTGCCCTCAGGCCTCTCTTGGGGTAAGTCTATCACACAGCCCTCCGCACCTTGACTCCCCCAGCCGTGTTCACCCTTCCATCTCCCCCGCTGTTCTCTACTCCTAGCTTGGGCCCTGTGCCATTCGTAGTCTTGGGGCCCCAGACACCTGGGGAGCCAGTGCTGCTTCCTGATCCTTTTCACTCACTCGGACCGGCTTGGTGCCTTCCTTGGGCCCCAGGAGCACTGCCTCTGGACCCGGCCCGCCCTCACCTCTCTCTGCTCTCTGCGACCTGCAACACCCGCCAGCCTCTTTCTGGGGCTGACAGCCTCTTTC